CCCCAAAACCCCAAAACCCCAAAACCCCAAAACCCCAAAATTATTCTTAAATAATGAAAACATTTATTAATTTATTACTCGATCTTGACCACCAAGAGGCCGAGGGCTGAATCCTTAAGCTCAGAAACCCGAAATGATCCCTAAGAAAGTCTCCTAACATTGTAAACCCACCCATAAGCGAGGCTTGGCGTTCTCTGTCGCTACTTTTGGCACCTTCTTGGGGTTCAGCTTTCTCTTGAGCTTTGAAGCTACCTTTGGCTTGGAGTTTCTGAGTGACTTTCTTAATATTGGCTTTAATTTTGAAAGGATTTAAGTGAAGTTTGGAATCACTGTTGGGGAACATAGCTGGGATAAGCCCCTAAAATATCCCTTTGGAGGTTTAATTAGATTTTGATGGGAGGGTTATGGGCTTGAGTTGAAGATGGAAATTGAGGGGATGAAAATTTTTGGAAGGTTTGAATTGGTGCTTTGAAGTTGATAAGGAGATTTTATGATGTGCTTTAATTTAGTTTTCTGCGAAAATTATAGATAGACGGTTAATCCTAATTAAACATGGGAACTCAGTCCGCTAAAATCTTACCTTGCCATCACTCTCCATCTTCTCCAAAACTTGCTTCCCTAATTTGTGGATTGCTTAACAACTCTTTCAAATTCACTTCATTCTACACAAAATCAACCTCTTCAAAAACCTAACTAATCTAAAACTCATTTACAACCTCATAAAGTGCTTCTAAGCATGTCTAAAATGTCTTCAAACTTTAGTTTTTAATAAAAATCTGGAAATCTTACATTCTTGTAAATAAGTTGTTCGTTATGATAATGCAACCTTTTAAATCTTTTTAGTCTTTTTGAGATTTGTGGATTTATTAGGTTTAGAAATCTAGTTGTTTTGGTGTTTAGGAGCAGTTCTAGACTGTTTAGTATTGTTTTGAGGGTTTGGAATGTGATTTGAAGGTATCAGGTTAAACTACTAAACTATCTCTGCAAAGACAGACTTTCAAAGGCTAAGGCATGATTTCTATTGCAGACGGTTGTCCAGCACAGTCTCTAAAGGATTTGAAGTTATTCTCAGCTTAAAGTAAACATTGCAATTTAAACTATTCAAAATTTGTAAAATCTCTAGGGGTTTTGGGGTTTTGGGGTTTTGGGGTTTTGGGG